GTTAAACCCAAAGTTAACAGAAGGAAGGAAATAATAAAAATCAGAACAGAAATAAATCAAATGGGGATAGAAAAACCATAGAAAAAATTAACTGAGTTTGTTTTTTGAAAACATAAACAAAATTAACAAACTGTTAGACTAAGAAAAAAAAGAGAAGACTCAAATATATGAAATCAGAACTGAAAGTGGAGACATTATAACAGAAACCTCAGAAATAAAAAGCTTCATAAGGAGCTATTGTAAACAATTATATGCCAAGAAATTTGATAACCTAGAGGAAATGGATAAATTCTTTGTAAAACCAAGGTTTTGCCAAGGTTGAATCAGGAAGAAATAGAAAGCCCGCACAGAGCAATAACAAAGAGATTGAAGTGGTATTTAAAAACCTCCTAACAAAAAAAGCCCAGGACCAGATGGCTTTACGGCTGAATTAAACTACACTTTCAAAGAAGAATTACTACCAAAACTTCTTAAACTCATCCAAAAAATAGAGCTGGAGGGAATACTTCCTAACATGTTTTCTGAAGCCAGCATCACCTTGGTACCTAAACCAGAGACACCACAGTAAAGAAAACTACAGGTCAATATCAGTATCTCTGATGAATATTGATGTAAAAATCATCAATAATATTTTAGCAACTCAAATTCAGCAACAAATCAAGAAGATTATGATCACAATGAAGTGAGCTATATCCCTGGCCATGCAAGACTAGTTTAGCATATGCAAATTAACCAATGTGATACTTGCATTAACATACAAAACCACACAATCATATAAACTGATGCAGAAAAAGCTTTCAACAAAGTTCAACATCCTTTCTTGATGAAAACTCTTAACAGTTTAGGTATAGATGGAAGGTTTCTCAGCATAATAAAGTTCATTTATGAAAAACCCACAGCTAGCATCATAATCAATGAGGAGAAACCGAAAGCTTTTCTTTTAAGATCTGCTGTAGGGTAAGAATGCCCACACTTGCCACTCCTATTCAACATAGTACTGGAAGTATTAGCAAGAGCAATTAGACAAAAAAGAAATAAAAAGCATTCAAGTTGGAACAAAATAAGTAAAGTTATCACTAATTACAGACGACATGATCCTTTATGTAGAAAACCCCAAAGACTCCACCAAAAAGCTGTTGGATCTCAATAAAGTCGCAGGATATAAAATAAAGATACAAAAATCTCTTGTATTTCTATACACAAATAACAACCTAGATGAAAAATTCAAGAAAAAATTTCATTTCTAATAGCATCAAAAATAAAAGCAGATGAAATACTTAAGAATAAATTTTACCAAGGAAGTAAAAGATATACACTGAAAACTATAAAACGTTGATGAAAGAAATTGAAGAGTACACTGAAAACTATAAAACATTGATGAAAGAAATTGAAGAGGACACAAATAGAAAGATATTTCATGCTCATGAATTGTAAGAATTAATATTGTTAAAATGTCTATACTACCTAAGGCAATATGTATAGATCCAATGCAATCCCTATCAAAATCCCAATGGCAATCTTCACAGAAATGTAAAAAAAAAACAAAAACAAAAACCTAAAATTTATGTGGAACCACATTAAACCCTGAATAGCCAAAGTACTACTCAGTAAAAAAACAAAACAAAACAAAAAACAAACAAACAAAAAAACAGTTGGAGGCATCACATTTCCTGATTTAAAATTATATTATGAAGCTATAATAATCAAAACAACATGGTCCTGGAAAAAAGCAGACACATGGACTTGTGGAATAGGATAGAGAGCCCAGAAATAAATCCAAACATAGGTGGTCAACTAGTTTTTGAGAAGGGCAACAAAAATACACAATGGGGAAAAGAATAGTCTCTTTAATAAATGGTGCTGGGAAAACTGGATTTCCATGTGCAAAAGAATGAAATTGGACCCTTATATACAAAAATCAACTCAAAATGGATAAAAGACCTAAGTGTAAAACCTGAAACCATAAAAGTCCTAGAAGAAAATATAGGGGGTAAACTCCTTGACAGTGACCTTGACAGTGATTTCTTGGATGTCACACCCAAAAGCTCAGTCTACAAAAGCAAAAATAAATAAATGGGATTACATCAAACTAAAAAGCTTCTGCACAGCAATGGAAACAATTAACAAACATATTGGGAAAAATATTCACAAATCATGTATCTGCTAAGGGTTAATATCCAAAATTTATGAAGAACTCATGAAACTCAATAGCAAAAAAAATATAACCCAATTAGCAATGTGCAAGGGACATTAGTATACATTTCTCCAAAGATGACATAAAAATGACCCACAGGTACAGAGAAAGGGGCTCAGCATCACTAATCATCAGAGAAATATACATTAAAACTACTGCGCAATATCACTTCACACCTGTTAGGATAACTGTTGTCAAAAAGACGAAAAGACAAGTGTTGGTGAGGGTGTGGAGAAAAGGAAACTCCTGTACACTGTTGGTGGGAATATAGATTGGTGTAGCCATTATGAAAAACAGTATGGAGGTTAGTAAACAAATTGAAAATAGAACTACTGTATGACCCAGAAATTGCTCTTCTGGGTATATACTCAAAGGAAATGAAATCACCACCTCATAAAGATACCTGCAGTCACATGTTCATTGCACCATTTTCCACAATAGCCAAGATAGATAAACAACCTAGGTGCCCGTCAGTGGACTAATGGATAAAGACACTGTGTGCATATATATATGTATATAGTGTGTATGTGTGTGTATGTATATGTACACTATATATATTTCAGACTGAAGAATACTCCATTGTGTATATACACACACATTGTACAATGTGTGTACACATACATACGATGGAATATTATTCAACATTAAAAAAGGAGGAGGTCTTAACATTTGCTACAACATGGATAAACAGGGAGGAATTATGCTAAGTGAAATAAGCCAGACACAGAAAGAAAAATATTTCATGATCTCACTTATGTGTGGAATATAAAAAAACAAAAAAAGATTAGATATATATAGAGAATAAAACATTCATTACCATGTTCACAGTGGGAGGGAGGAAATGGGAGTCGTAGGTCAAAGAATACAAAGCAGCAAATATGTAGGATGTGCAAGTGGATCTAATGTGCAACATGAGAATTATAGTTAATAATAGTGTATTGTATTCAGAACTTTTGCTAAGTGAGTAGACAGATTAAAGCTACTTTTGTCACTGGGAAGGGGGATAGGTAACTATGTGAGCTGATGGATGTATTAATGTGTTCCACTATAGTAACCATTTTACTGTGTGTGTGTGTGTGTGTGTGTGTATATATATATATATGAAATACTTTAAATATACGCAATAACATTTATGTTTTTAAAAAGAAAGGACAATGGAACAGCGAACTGCAGAGCAGAACTATCACCTACCTATACAGCATTTTTCTGCTGGAAAGTAGGGCTTTTGCCTTGGGGAAAACTGTATATTGTAAACAAGAGCAATGGAAGGGTTTAGCAGAACTACTTCCTGAGTGGAGGAAATGACTCTTCTCACTGGGGGTTTTCCTGAGTTCTTACCGAGCTCCAATCTGTCAGTCTCCACTTTGAGCAAGGTGTTGAGCTCCTAGCTGTGGGGCGATGGGAAAATGCAAGGAAAACCCAGGCCCAGAATTGGAATTGGTGTTTTTCATAGAGATAGGGAATTGGCTTTTGTGCAGTACACAAAATAGGGGTCACATCTGTAGGAGAAATAAATGAAAAGAGAAGGAACTTTCACATTTTTATGTTAAAATAACCACCCCCACAATCATCTAACTGATGAAAGCATGCCTATTGCTTTTGTTTTTTAATGTGTATCAGCTTGGCAGGTGGTCACAGTGTCTTCTTCATCTTAAGATCTTAGATTAGAGGTTTCTTAGTTAGGACTTGCCACATGTCATTTATTCATAAGACTGATGTATGAATAGTTTCCAAGGAATCTTTAAGCGTGATGATTTAAAAATCAAAGCTACTTTCAGTTGTTACACACACAAATCTGATCCGAACACACACTATCATTTCATTTGAGTAGGCGTTATAACTTGTTAATAAGGCCAGTGTTGTGACTTTGAGCTTTGTGTTAACCAGTTATTTGGTGGTCACATGTTATGCTCATGACCTTGACTATTGGTCAAATGAGAGTGGAAGAAGGGGCAGTGGGTGGAACCTCAGCTTGATCCAATAGGGAGAGCCTTGGCCTGGAGGTTAAGAAATTTAGGATCTAGTAGTTTCACTCCCAGCTGGACCATTTACATGCTCAAGGATCTGCTGCTGTGACTTCTTTTCTCATCCGTAAAAGGATGCACTTATAATATCTAGGTGATTTCTTAAGATCTCATCCATCCCTCACATACTACGATTCATTTAGCCAATAGTTATTAATAGCCTCCTGTGTATCAGGCACTGTACTATGAATATGGCCCTGAGCTGGACAGAGAGATGCTGTCTTTCTTCTAGAACTTACCGTCTAATGCGAGAGACAGATATTAAAGACATGATGATGTAAGTAATCATTTAAATAATTTAAATCAAATTTCAGTTGTGATAAGTGACATGAAAGAGAAGTACAGGGTATTATCACAGTGCATGACAAGGAGACCTCACCTAGTTTGGGAGTTCAGGGTACCTTGGAGAAAATCCCCAAAGGGCAAGTCTGGATTGAGTGGAACTTCTGAGAGCTCCACTCAATATCTCCAAGCACAGAGAACACATAATATCTTAATTTTCCACAAGTGCAAAATTAAAATTGCCTAACAGACCAGGCAAAACCAAAATGGAGTCAGTCATGCTAAATGCCACATAATCAAACTGAAACTTTAAGGAATCAGACAGATACCCTGAAAGACCAGTTTTTTCCCTGAAAACAGAACATTCCAGTCTACCTGAGTTAGCAAAAATAGGAAGACCCCTCTGCTTTAACAAAGTGCCCGTTTGTTGCTTAATTTAACATTTATTCAGAACTAAGTCCAGTTATAGGTTATGGAACTCCCACAAACTGAGAGGGGACCCTACCTCTCCAGGAAAGTTCTGTCTATTAGATAGGCATGTAAGCAAATGGCTATAATATAACATGAACAGGAGCTAACCAATTAAGAGCATCATGTGAGCTACATGCGGGTAGGACTGATTGTTCTGCAACCTTTATTCATTTATATATTCTTTCAATAAATACAGATATGCTTCATTTTATTGTGCTTCACTCTATTGCCCATCACAGATGCTGTGTTTTTACAAGTTAAAGCTTTATAGCAACCCTGAGTTGAACAAGTTTACTGGTGCCATTTTTTCCAACAGCACGTGCTCTCGTCATGTCTTTGTGTCACACTTTGGTAATTCTCACAATATTTCCGACTTTTTCCCTATTGCTATATGTGTTATGGTGGCCTGTGACCGGTGATCTTTGGATGTTCCTATTGTAATTATTTTGGGGCAACATGAACCACACCCATATAAGATGGCAAACTTAATTGATAAATATTGCATGTTTTGGATTGTCCCACTAACCAGTCATTCCCTCATCTCTCTCCCTCTCTTCAGACCTATTTCCTGAGACACAAGAACATTGAAATTAGGCCAATTAATAACCCTACAGTGGCCTCTAAGTGTTCAAGTGAAAGGGAGAGTCACATGTCTCTCACTTTTAATCAGAAGCTAGAAGTGATTAAGCTTAGTGAGGAAGACCCGTTGAAAGCAGAGATGGGCCAAAAGCTAGGCCTCTTGCACCAAGCAGTTAGCTAAGTTGTGAATGCAAAGGAAAAGTCTTGAAGGAAATTACAAGTGCTCTTGCAGTGAACACAGCCTTATTGCTGATATGGAGAAATTTTAGTGGTCTAGATAGATCAGACCTGTCACAGTACTTCCTTAAGCCAAAGCCTAATTTGGAGCAAGGCCCTTACTCTTTTCAGTTCTGTGAATGCTGAGAGAAGTGAGAAAGCTACTGAAGAAAAGCTTGAAGCTAGCAGAGTTGGTTCATGAGGTTTAAGGAAGGAAGCCGTCTCTATCACATAAAAGTACAAGGTGAAGCAGCAAGTGCTGATGTAGAAAGTACAGCAAGTTATTCAGAAGGTTTAAGATCTAAGATAATTGATGAAGGTGGCTATAGAAAACATGTAAGGCTGGTGCAACAGCCTTATATTCGAAGAAGATGCTATCTTGGACTCTCCTAGTTAAAGAGGAGAAGTCAGCTGGGCGTGGTGGCTCATACCTGTAATCCTAGCACTTTGGGAGGCCAAGGCAGATGGATCAAAAGGTCAGGAGTTTGAGACCAGCCTGGCCAACATGGTGAAACCCCATCTCTATAAAAATACAAAAAAACCCCAAAAAACAAAAAAACAAAAAAAACAGGCATGGTGGCTTGCACCTGTAATCCCAGTTACTCAGGAGGCTGAGGCAGGAGAATTGCTTGAACCTGGGAGGCAGAGGTTGCAGTGAGCCAAGGTCACGCCACTGCACTCCAGCCTGGGCAACAGAGCAAGACTCTGTCTTAGGAAAAAGATAAAAAAAAAGAGAGAGGAGAAGTCAGTGCCTGGCTTGAGAGTTTCAAAAGTCGGGCTGACTCTCTTATTAGGGGCTAATGCAACTGGTGACCTTAAGTTGAAGCCAGTGCTTACTTATCATTCTTAAGTTCTTAAGAACCCTAGGGCCCTTAAGAACTATGCTAAATCTACTCTACCTGTGCTCTGTAAATGGAACAACAAAGCCTGGATGACTGCACATCGGTTTGCCGCATGGTTTACCAAATATTTTAAGCCTACTGTTGAGACACACTACTCAGAAAAAGGATTCCTTTCAAAATGTTGCATCTCATTGACAATGCACATGGTAACCTAAGTGCTTTGTTGGAGATGTACAAGGAGATTAATGTTGTTTTCATGCCTACTAACGTAACATCCATTCTGCAGTCCATGGATCAGGGAATAATTTCAACTTTCAAGTCTTATTATTTAAGAAATGCAGTTAGTAAGGCTGTAGCCACCATAAATAGTGATCCCTCTGGTCTGGGCAAAGTAAATTGAAAACCTTTTGGAAAGGATTCACCACTCTAGATGCCACTAAGAATACTTCTGATTCATGAAAGGAGGTAAAAATATCAGCATTAACAAGAATTTGTCAGAGTCTAAGCCTCATGGATGTCTTTGAGGGGTTCAAGACTTTAGTGAAGGAAGTTACAATAGATGTGGTAGAAATAGCAAGAGGACTAGAATTAGAAATGGAACCTGAACATGTGATTGATTTGCTGCAATCTCATGATAAAACTTTAATGAATGAGAAGTTGATCCTTATGAATGAACAAAGTGGCTTCTTGAGGTGGAAACTACTGCCAGTGAAGATGCTGTAAACATTGTTGAGATGACAAGGAGGAATTTAGAACATTTCACAAAGGTAGTTGATAAGGCAGCAGCAGGGTTTAAAAGGATTGACTCCAGTTTTCAAAGTTCTACTGTGGGTAAAATACTATCAAACAACATTGCATGCTACTGAGAAATCTTTTGTGAAAGGAGGAGTGAATTGATGAAGCAAACTTCATTATTGTCTTATTTGAAGAAATTGCCACAGTCACTCCAACCTTTAGCAACCATTACCCTGATCAGTCAGCAGCCATCAACATGGAGGCAAGACCCTCCACCAGCAGAAGAATTACAACTCACTAAAGGCTCAGATGATCTTTAGCATTTTGTGTCAATAAAATATTTTAAAATTAAGGTACGCACATTGTTTTTTAGACGTAATGCTATTGCACGCTTAATAGACTATGGTATAGTATAAACATAACTTTGATGTGTACTCAGAAACAAAAAAATTCATATGATTTGCTTTATTGCAATATTTGCTTTATCGTGGTATTTTGGAACTACACCTGCGATATCTCTGAGGTATGCCCATATTCACTGAATACCTGTTACAATCCAGACATCGTGCTAAACAAAGGCAATAGAAAGATCCAAGTGAAACAAAAAACAGAAAAGAGCCAGGATATCACCTGTTTGATGTACAGTTACACAAACTGCTGCTTAACTACAGTTGTGATGAGTGTTGCTTTTTATTTTATTTTGTAAAATTTGCATACAGTACAATGTGTAGGTCTGAAAACTTGAAGTTTGACTTGATAAGGAGAGTTCCTTTCTGCCCTCTTTGCTTTCAGCTTCCTTTTATCCTCCACAGTAAACCATTCTTGTGATTTCTCACATCATAAATTAGTTTGATACATTCTTGAACTGTATAAAAAATATAATAGTATAGTACATAGTCGTTTGTGTCTGGTTTCTTTTACTGATCATGATGTCTGAAATTCATCCACAGTGTTGGATGAATTCCTCCTCCTTTTCTGATGTAAACATTGGGTGCTGTACATTTCCTTCTAAACAGTGCTTTCACTGCATTCTCCTTTCTCTCATTTTAATATATCCTGTTTTCATTGTCTTTCAGTTCAAAATATTTTCTAATTTTCCTTGTTAATGCTCCTTTTTAACCTGTGGTATTAAAGTCTTCAAATATGATTGTGGATTCTTTTATTTGTTTAGTTCTAATGGATTTTCATTCATGTATTTTGAAACTCTTTTTATTAGGTGTTACACATTTAGGATTGCTTTGTCTTCTGGTTAATGCTATAATTTTATCTTTTAAATTTTATCTTTTATCATTAAGAAATATTCTTATTAGTGTGGATATTCCTGGTTTTGCAGCACTAGCTTTTATATGCTGTATCTTTTTTCTGTACCTTTACTTATAACCTGTCTGCAATTCTGGTCTTGTTCTTTTTTTTTTTTTTAAGTCTGACAACCTCTGCCTTTTAGTTGGATGGTTTAGTCATTTACACTTTATGTAATTATTGATATAATTGGATTTCCCTTCCTATTTACTTTCTCTCTGATTTTTTTTTTTTTGGTTGCTGTTCATTTCTTTTCCTGTCTTCTTTTGAGTTAATTGAATGTGCTTTAGCACGTCATTTATTTTCTCTATTGGCTTTAAATCTACCTTAATTTTTGGTATTATATATCTTTTATATATGTTATAAATCTCATAATGTAACATTATTTTTGTTTTGCTTTTGATTTTGCTTTAAATGGCTGTCTTCTAAAGAAATTAATGTAAGGACATAGTAATATATTTACTACATATTTACCATTTCTGACACTCTTCATTCCTTCATATTGAGTTGAGTTTCCATTTGTTATTTCTCTTCAGCTTAAAGAACCCCTTTCAGCAATTTTTAATTTTTGCTTTGCAAGTCTGGTAGCAACACCGCTCAGCTTTTGTTTATCTAAAAATATCTTCATTTTACCCTTATTTTGGAAGGATAATTTTGCTGGAGATAGAATTGTGAGTTGACAGCTAATTTTTTTTTTCTTTTAGCATTTTAAGGATGTAATTCCATTCTCTTCTGATCTTTAGGGTTTTTGATGATGTATCCACCACCATTTGTATCTTTGTTCTCCTGTATTCAGTGAATCATTTTTTTCTTCTGCTTTCAAGCATTTTCTCATTATGTTTGATTTTCAGTGTACTACACAGTGTGATAAGGATGTTTCTAGATGCATATATATATATATATATATATATTATTTTTTTTTGGTGCTTGTTCTGCTTGGAGTTTGCTGACATTTTAAAATATTCTAACTATATTTGGAAATTTTAAAATAATTATTTCTTCAAAATTTTACTTGTCCTTTTCTCTTTATATTTTCTTCTGGAACTTAAATGACATATATGTTAGATTGCTTAATATCCTCACTGTGGCTCTTTTTATTTGTTTCCAATCTATAATTTATCTATAAGTTTATTAACTTTTTCTTCTTTAGTCTCCAATCTTCCATTAAAATGATTAAATTATTTAGTGACTGTTTTATTTCATATATTGTATTTTTAGTTCCTGGATTTTCATTAAATCTTTTTTTTTTTTTTTTTTTTTAGTTTCCATTTCTTTGCTGAAATTCTCCATCTATACACTGATTTTTTTAAGTCTTTGAACATATACTGACAATAACTGTTTTAAATTCCTTCTCTGGTAGTTTCACCATCTGGTTCCTTTCTGTTTCTTTTGACTGCTTTTTTCTTTTTAAGTCACCTTTTTTTTTTTTTTTTTTTGCCTCTTCACTTGTCTAGTAATTTCTTGCAGTATACTAGACGTTGTGTTACATGTTTTACTGATTTGTATGCATTTACTTATAAGTTTCATCCATGTAATGTAAGTTTAAATCAATTAAATTTATACTAGGAAATAGTTTAAATCGATTAAATTTATACTAGGAAACAATTATTAAAGAGATGAAAAGGAGAGAATGATATACTACATAGCAGGGCAGCCTCCAGTGGTTTGAGCTTGTACATTCTAACATTATATCAGCAGTGAGAACAGCATTGACTTATTCATTCCAAAAGAACTACACAAGGTCATCTTCTAGCTAAATGAGAGAGAAAAATGCATTTCTGTTACAGAATCTCAAAATGTAAACATTGTTTCTCAAAACCTTATAACTTTGACAACTTAATTGTACTAGTGCCATCCCCTGTTCTAAATCTGTATTAAGGTATTGATATTAACAAGTTTAAAGACAAAAAGTGCAACTTTACAGCAATGATAATTGATAAGGTTTTGTTTGAACCATCATTTTATTTTACAATTTAGAGGGAGAAAATACCATTATTTGTTTCTTCCAAAGTTGTCTTTTATTTGCCTGTGCAAAGTTTCCACATTAGTGACCTTCTTTTTTTCTTTGCTGCTTATGTGTTTAGAAACTCTGGTCTTTTTATTTCTAATTGCATGAATAATGAACAACTTGGAAAAACTCCTATATGTTTTCCCCATTGCCCTAATTTTTCTTGTTCCAACATTTTTTGGAAGTCTGAATTGTTCGTTTAGAAAGTGAATTCTTTCCTACCAAAGTCTTTGGCTCTTTTATGATTCTTGTAACTTTTTTTTTTTTTCCAAACTGGGCTTTCTCAAAGCCTGGGGATATTTATTTTAAATAAATAGTTGTTTCAAACACATTTGTTTTAAATAATTCATTTTAAAAACAATATGTCAACAATTTCAATTTTATTAAATATTTCAACGAACAATTACTTCTAAAGTTTCGTTTTATTGTTTTTACATGCGCAACGTGATTGTGGTGTTTCAGACGTCAGACATTTTGTAAAGGGGGCATCTGGGGACACCAGAGTGTTCTTGGCATATCCAAAATTATGGTAGATAAACCCTTCATGGTTCTGTTAATTATAATATTCAGAGTCCCACAGTACATTTCCATAAAACTTAGTGTTTCTTTCATTAAGATGGCTGACTGCAGAAATCATTGGCAGACCCCAGAAATTACCTCAGCATGTTTCTCCAGAAAATTCTCTGGCAGTAAGGGGAATGCCCTTAGGTTGTTGATTATTCACTAAGAATCTTGTGATCCAGGGATTTTCCAACTACTATTTAATTTTTAAATTAAACCTTGAATCTGGTGGCAATCCAGAAAGTAGACAACTCACCGTAAATTTTCCACTCTTATTTATGTCTGTTAATTTACCTGATAGGAATTAGAATTAATTATTTTCTACTTTCAGGTTATTTTGTGATGTAGATTTTTATAATATACATATCTCCAAGCATATGCCTGTGGCATGGTAATCCTAATGTCTTCCAATTAAAAAGTATTTTATGACTAACAACTTTAGGATATTTCTCTTTGTTGGTTAATAATACTAACAGGATATAGTAACAATGATAAGAGTAATAGACACCATTATTGATAATGTATTAAGTACAGGCAGTGGTATAAGTCCTTCACAGACATTATTTCATTTATTCTTCTCCATATAATCCTATGGGGTAGGTACTATTTTACATATGGAGATACTAAAGATTGAGAGGCCAAGTGATGGACCCAAGGTAAGACAACAGCGGATGGATGAATCACACCCAGGTCTTGCTGGCTTCAAAGACCAGTAAGCCATATTGCCTCTCAGGACCATAGGTTGTAACACTGACCTTACTTTTCACTGGACAAAATCTTGTGAAGAAATAAATTGAAGATGAAACTTAGGGATTATTTGAAAGGTATGTCAAGTAATTCAAAAATAAATTTTCTAGAATGGTAAATTCTGACCCAGAAACACATGAAACAAACAAACAAACAAACAAACCCTCTAAACTAGATATAATAATTTAGTAAAAATGATTAAACATTGCTTTATTATTATTACAAATGTATACTTAAGGGAAACTTTCTCATTTGGCAATTGGATCTATTCTCCACATAGCACGTGTGATCTTTTAAAACACAAATATGGTCAAGCAGTTAGTTGTTGACACTTGCATGTTGCTTACACTTAGAATAAAATATTAACTCCCAGGTCACTTGCAAAGCTCTGCACACTTGCCCAAGATTATGCAGTGGATTGGCAGCTACCTCCAGTGTTTTCTCGTGGTGTCTGCTCTACTCCTGTCTCATTCCCTACCGTTTCTGGAGCCCCCGATAGGATTTTTTTTTGTTCCTTTTCTGCCTCCTTCAGCAAAATATAAGCTCTGTGAGAGTAGGCACCTGACTTCTAGTACCATGTCCACAAATGTTTGTTAGAATCTGTTACATCCATAATGGTGACACAGTTAAAAGCCGCAGGTGATTGGTTATCATCAGAGTTGTGAATTGTTAGTAATTCATGAAGTTGTCATCTGTTTATTTCAGTTAGAAAAAAAACCTGATTCTTTCTTTAAAAAAATACTTATAGTTTAATCATGAGATTCAATTATTGCTGTAAAATTCAAACACATTTTCATATACTGACAGGAGATCATTAGTAAAACAGTTGGCTTTTTTTGTTACTGATAATAAATTAATGAGTTTGCTGGTTTTCCTCATCTAGATGATATTTTTCTGCCACTTTATATGCAATTATAAATATATAACTATACCAATTAATTATGAACAAGGTAATTGATTATATTTAATGGCTATTATATTAAATTAATATTTACCAGGTTATTTTATTAAACAGATCTATGCTTATAAAGAAAACATTTTTTAAATTGGAAACAAAAATTGCAAGGGAAATATACTCATACAACTCAAGTTTCCACTGTCAGGCAGGTGTCCACCCATCTCCACAGTCCCATACTCAGAGCTATAGACATAGTATATCTTTGGCAGGCCGTCTCTTTAAAAATACAGGTAGGAATTCAGAGGGAGGCATAATCGGCTTCTAAGGATGAGTACTTCATAGCAAAAATTGTGTATGTGTTGAGGTCGTGCCTGAATATTTGTGTCAACCAGAAAGTATACTTCTAACATTATCCTCTTGGAATACCTTTAAAAGCCTTGAGAGTCAGTCTTTCATGGAAAATCCTAGATCTGACATTTCACTTGTTTACAGCAAAATAAAACAACAACAGCACAAACAAACAATTGGGAACACAAAGCAACACAAAACAGACTTTCCTATGCTGGTAGTTATTAATGGAGGGTAAAATAATAATTTTCTTTTTTGGAGTATTTTCTTTAGTAGCCAGAGATTCTGAAGTTTTACTAATCAACTCTGTGAACTTGGGCAAGTCATATGTTCTTTCAGACGACGAGTTGGGACTAGTTTATTTTCTTTCCTGATCTAGAATTATCAAGTCTTTAAGATTCTGATCTTTTACATGGAAAGGATAACAACTATTTTTCTGTAGGTTGTGTGCTCATTCTTTTAGGAAATCTGGCAACTTCTACAGATACAGCATTATCCTAAGGGAAATAATGTCTGAGAATAAGATTATTCTCTCCCCATCCCCTCAAATAAACATACACTTTGTACTTTAAAATTGAAACAGGCAAATTCCAAGGAAAGGTTGATTGGATCATTCACACACAGATCCTGCAAATAATTTTATTTTAGATGACAGGTGTTCATGTTTGGTACAGAGTGTGTGTGTGTGTGTGTGTGTGTGTGTGTGTGTGTGAATGTGCGTCAGGGTTTTACTCCTGTCACCCAGGCTGGAGTGCAGTGGTGTGATCATGGCTCACTACAGCCCGGACCTCCCAGGCTCAGGTGATCCTCCCATCTCAGCCTCCTGAGTAGCTCGGACTATAGGCACATGCCACCACACTCAGGTAATTTTTACATTCGTAATAGGACACATGGTTTTGCCATGTTGCCCAGGCTGGTCTTGAGGTCCTGGGCTCAAGTGATCCACCTGCCTCGGCCTCCCAAAGTTCTGAAATTACAGGCATGAGCCATTGCACCCAGCCAAGGGTTCTTTTGAATAATATAAAAGGATATTTTTTTGGTAATTTTAAGAACTTAACTTTCAAAGTGCAATGTCTGTTTTACTCCAGATGTTAGTTTGCTGTCTGGTTGAAGATATTAATATTCAGAACCAGATTAAACCTTTGCTTTGACTTACTTGGAAGTAATTCTGTCCTGCATATCAGTGTATCCATAATCTCTCCTTCTTCCTCAAAAGTTTCAGTTTCACCATGAAATGTTTTTGTATGTGTATTTTAAAGCCGTTTGTCTTCTTGTTCTCTTTGAGATTGGCTGAAATGTAGAGGTCACTCTGATTAAGAGGAGGAAGCCTGGGCCAGAGGAAAGGGAGGAATTATAGCTTAAAGGCAGTATTTTTTGA